ATAATGCCCCTATATAGATCGATGGTGCGACCTCATTTGGAATACTGTGTGCAGTTCTGGTCACCACACCTTAAAAAGGATATTATAGCTTTGGGAAAGGTGCAGAAAAGGGTAACTCGAATGATAAAAGGGTTGGAACACTTTCCCTATGAGGAAAGGTTAAACCACTTACGGCTCTTTAGCTTGGAGAAATGACGACTGAGGGGTGACATGATTGAGGTTTATAAGATTATGCATGGGATAGAGCAGGTAGAGAAAGAGGTACTTTTCTCCCTTTCTCACAATACAAGAACTCGTGGGCACTCAATGAAATTGCTGAGCGGTCAGGTTAGAATGGATAAAAGGAAGTACTTCTTCACCCAAAGAGTGATTAACACATGGAATTCACTGCCACAGGAAGTGGTGGCGGCTACAAGCATGGACGGCTTCAAAAGGGAATTAGATAAGCATATGGAGCAGAGGTCCATCGGTGACTATTAGCCACAAGGTATAGATAGGGGCTCTGGGGCAAGTGATGCTCTGTCTTCTTGGTGCTTGGGGGGTCAACAGTGGGAGGGCTTCTAATGTCCTGGCCCCACTGGTGGACCTCCTGATGGCACTGGTATTTCTGGCCACTGTATGATACAGTCTCAATGAACCAGTCGACTGGAAAACTACACCTTATTATTTAAAAACCTGGTCAATATCATGGCCATCAATCTGCCATCTATGCTCAACAGATTTTTTTTTTGGGGGGGGGACAAAAATTTAGTTTTGGGGAAGTTAATTATTATCTGCTCCACACTTTTTTGTAAAGAAATGTGGTGTGGCCCATAGACACAACCAATGATAAATGTCAACAAGACACTTTCAAGTATTTCCTGGTACTCTAAACTCACTGTTAACAGTGGGTAATTTTTTTTTCAGAATTCCTTAACGTTCACCTGTACTCTGTACCTATCCAGTTTCACCACAGACATTATCACTACAGTTTTAAGTCTCATCAGGACCCATGTGCAAATTGCAGCTTCTGATGAAGAAGAAGAAGAAGAAGAGATTGGATTTATACCCCGCCCTTCACTACCCAAAGGTGTCTCAGAGCGGCTTACAAACTCCTTTCCCTTCCCCTCCCCACAACAGACACCCTGTGAGGTAGGTGGGGCTGAGAGAGCTCTGACAGAAACTGCACTTTTTCAAGGACAGCTCTTATCAGAACTATGGCTTGCCTAAGGTCATCCAGCCAGGTGCAAGTGGAGGAGTGGGGAATCAAACCCGGTACTCCCAGATTAGAGTCCACACACTTAACCACTACACCAAACTGAAGGTCCATGCTCTGCCAAGTTCCTAACATCCTTTTGTGGCATGCTGGTGACCCAGAAGACAAACCAAAACAAATCCAGTTAAATTAAGTATGCTGTAATAAACATACAAGAGGGTTTGCTTGTAGTGAAACACAGCTATCCAATGTCTGGAGAGTGTTACTTAAGAACAGTATACATCTGTTGTAACTTTAATAAAATCCAAAAGTTGTATTATTCCCTACTAGGAATCAGGCTCATTGTAGCAGTGAAGACAATGGGCGCTAGCTTGGTCGCCCTGCGGCAGGGCTGCGCCCCCTTCCCAGCGGCCCCTGGCCACTTGAGTCTCCGGTGGGCAAAGGCCACCTGAAGTGTCCCCCCCCGGCCATCCAAGGGGCTGGCGGGCCCAGGCAGGTGGTGTTGTTCCTCCCCCCTGCCAGAGGGCAGGGCTACCAAGATAGTGGAAAGGGGTGGGTAGACCTGCTCTCCAGTGGGCAGGTCTACCAATATAGTGGAATTGGGTGGGTAGACCTGTTCTTCAGAGGGCAGGTCTACCAAGATAGTGGCATGGGGTGGGTAGACCTGGTCACCAGAGGCCAGGCCTACCAAGATAGTGGAAGGGGGTGGGTAGAGCTGCTCTCCAGAGGCCAGGTCTACCAATATAGTGGAATGGGGTGGGTAGACCTGCTCTCCAAAGGCCAGGCCTACCAATATATTTTTTTAATTGTTTATATTTATATCCCGCCTTTCCAAATATCTGGCTCAAGGAGGCAAACAACATTAAAATGGCATAAACAACCAATAGTGGAATGGGGTGGGTAAACCTGGTCTCCAGAGGCCAGGTCTACCAAGATAGTGGAAGGGGGGGGGTAGACCTGGTCTCCAGAGAGCAGGGCTACGAAGATAGTGGAAGGGGGTGGGTAGACTTGGCCTCCAGAAGGCAGGTCTACCAATATTGTGGAATGGGGCAGGTAGACCTAGCCTCTGGAAGAAGGGTCGTAGAGGGAAGACAACGAGCTGTAGAAGGAAGGAAGGAAGGAAGGAAGGAAAGAAGGAAGGAATTTGAGAGAGAGAGAGAGAGAAAGGAAGAAAGAAAGAGGGAGGGAGGGGAAGATGAGGAAAGAGGGAGTGAAAGAATAGAAAGGGATGGGGTGGAAGGAGTGGAGAAAGAGGGAGGGAGGTAAAGAATTGAAAGAGATAGGGAGAGAAAGGGGGGATGGAGGGAGGGTAAGGATGCATGGAGCTGGGGAGGAAGGAAGTAGGGGAGAGAAGGAATGTAAAGACATTGGGAGGAAGGAAGGGTAGAAGAAGGGGGAGGGAGGGTCAGACAGCAAAGGAAGTAAGGGAAACAAAGGAAAGAGGGAGAGAGAGAAGAGGTCAGTGGAAGAGACAGAGGGAGGGAGGGTGAGGGAAGGGGGGGCCGTTGAGCTGTTACCTGGCAGGCACGCAGCTGTCTGTCGAGCTCCTCGTAGCCAGGTATGGCGGGGGGGGAGCGGGGGCCAGAGTAGCCCTCCCCCCCTCGCTGCAGCGGTTCACTGGAGAAAGGTGGATCGGGGCAGCCGGAAGCCCCCGGGCATTTGGGCATGGCAGCAGGCAAGGGGGGCCCGAGCAGGCCTTCCCCCCACTTGCCGCGGCGGTTGAGGGGGGCAAGGTGGGCCAGGGGCGGCTGGCAGCCTGTCTGCGGCCATGCATGGCGACGGGCGAGCCAGAATAGGCTTCCCCCCGCTCGCTGCAGTGGTTGAGTGGGGAAAGGTGGGGTGGGGGCAGCTGGCGGCCTGTCTA